ACCCTTACTGACTTTCTACTCACAAACTACCTTCCCTGGCTCTTCTCAAGGGGTAGTCCCTGACCAGCAGGCTTTGGCATCCCTGGAAACTCCTGACCGATGCAAATGCCCTTGACCTAGTGAATGAGAAACTCCAAAGCATTCAAAGGCACCTTCAAGTTTGAGAACCGCTGGCTTAAATATATTTTATCTCCTCTCTGGACTCCTCTTGCCTTGACTTCCTTCCCAGACAGTATTCCTTAGCATATTCTTTGCTTCCAGGACCTACATCACCCAGATGGTCCCATCCCTTTATCACAAATGCTCTAAGAAACCTCAGCTCTGGATCAACCTCACACCTCGCTTGCTAGGTCTGATTCTTCAGCTGCTGGGAGATGCTGGAGCCAATCCCATAGCCACAGGATGCCATTTGGAGCTCCTTGTCGCCTGACTCGGCAGAAGGGCCGGACACTACCCACTCTGTCAGCCTCCCCTCTTTCTATTCCAGACAGCTCCCTCCCTCGGTTCCTCTGTTACTGCTGCTGCTGCTGCCACCAACCGCCACCAACTGCTGCTACAGTTCCATTGCCCCCCTCTCTCTACAAGCCCAGGCCCTGCCTGAAACCCTGATACTATAGCAGGTAGCTTTCTAAATCATTGCTAAAAGAATAAGACCAGGACTCCACCAATGTCTCTTCATCTGCAAACTCTCCTCCTCCTTCTCTAAATCAATGCCAGAGTCTTCCCGAGGCTTACTGAGGGCTCATCCCTCCAGCTGTCCTAGTCATCTCTCCGCCACCTGCCCGGGGCCATCTGGCCGGCAGCCAGGCCCACGGCTTCTGTTCCTCCATCCTCTCCAAGGTCTTTTCCTGGATTCAAAAACAATTGTGCAACATTTTCAAGCAAACATTTTAAAGATATTTATGGAGCATCTATATTCTCTAATGTAGTACAAAGATGGTTTTGAATTCCAGCTTTCTGATTACTGTCAAGGAAGTATTGGGAAGATGTTTTACTTTTCCTGAACTTCAGCCTCTTCTGCATAGAAGGGGCATTCAAACACCTTCTGTATGATTGTTTTTAAAAGGACTTAATACTATAAATGAAGAATATTGTAGTGATACGAGCTTGACATACTAGATAAAATATTTTGTTTGATCAGTGTGTTAGATATACATATGTTCAATATTTTCACTTAAACATTTATATAATCTGAGTGTTCTTTAAATTTCATTAATTCAAATGCCTACAACATATAGGGAATATCCCAACAAAAACATGACAAGAATTCCTTAATTACAGGTTTGGTGGTAAGAAAAATCTAATGCTTCCATGGTCCAAAAGTTACTTGCTTGAAAGCAAATGATCAAGAGAATAAATTCTGAAACAAAACATGGCCTCAGGGATGTAAAGACCTCCCACCTCTTAAAGGTTCTAATATCTCCTAGTACATAGCGCCATGCGGGGAACACGTGGAAATGGAAATAGGACACTTGACATCCAACCTACGGTATTCTCTCCCTTCATCAATGATTTCCATCATTTTCACTCCAAACTACTAACCATGGCATGTCTTCAGATCAGACAGATCTAAGTGTGAATCCCAGATCTTCCCCTGACTATCTATGTGAACTTGGCCAAGTTATATAACCTCATTAAGATGCAATTTCCTCACCTTAGAAATCAGGAGCCTATCTTAAAGTTGTTGCAAGGATGAAACACATAACATAAGACAAATGGAACACTCCAAGATCGAGCACAGAGGGAAGGGATGGGCAAGGAGAGCAATCATATGTGGCATCATTAACCACTTGGTTAACCGGATACAGGTACCAAAAAAGACCAGTGAGCACCCAATGACTCCAGGGTTTCTGTGCTCATGTAATGAGTGTGAAGTGCCCACTGTTGGAAGAGATGATCCTTCGTAGGTCTCTGGCACTTAGGCACATTTTGCTGAGTATGCCAAGCTTGCAAGTCGCCTGGCCTCTTTCCACTTGCACCTCTTCTCAATGTTAGGTCCACAGTAAGCAACCCTTCTCCCTCTAGCACAAAGAGCAGGCTTGCTGAGTGCATCCCATATAAGCAGTAGATTTCCCAAGCTCAGTGTTTCCCAGCTATGACGCAAACCAGCTGCATGTGGAGCATCCATCTGGGCCTATCATGGTGCCCCTGCAGGACCTGGAGGCAAGGGGAACTGATGCAAATATGCCATGCCCTTAGCAAAAAATCCTAGTTCTCTGGGCCCAAAAGTCTTATGTCTTTCACCATTAACCATGAATCAGTGACTGGTTAGCTTATTAGTTTAAAAGCTAGAAAGATAGGTTTAAAGCCAGTCAGTATGTGATAGCAAATAAAGCTATGAATAAAAACAATATTGCTTAGAAAGAAATCTGAGGCAGTACTCTGGGTAACATCAACCAGTGAAGTTTCTAGAGAAACTCAAAAAGGGAACCGGGCTAGGGGTTTAGCTCTATAGTGGAGCACTTGCTAGCATTTGTCATGATCATACATTTTAAGCAAGTCCACTTGCATACTCAGGTTATGTGGTCTGTCTCCAAGAGAATGGTGCCTGCTATCCATAGGGAGGGGCCTGTTGGCCACCTTGCTGGGTGGTCTTGCAGGTCATGGCTGAGAGACACAGAAATATGTCCCAAACTGTCTTCTTCCAAGTGCCAAAAAGTGGGTTCTATACACAAAGCATAGAGATAACTCTGGAAAGAACCCCTCCGAGCTCTTGTAAGCCAGTTTACAAGAAGATTCAGGGCGGGGGTTGTAGCTCAGTGGCATAAACGCCTGCTTAGGAAGTAAAATTCTGAGTTTGATTCCCAGTACCAAAAAAAAAAAAAAAAAAAAAAAGATGATTCAGTATTTTGTACCAGTAGGAATGGGCATTGGGAAGCAGGTTGTTCAAAGTGAAGAGAAGCCCACTGGGGGAGAGTACATGTTCAAGGTTCTCAGGGTTAATGAAAAAGACAAGAAGATCCTATTATCTACAAAGTATGAAAAGTAACTCCTTTGCTGAACACCCCTATTTAGAATTTATATTTTTACAAGATTCTCTGTTTAGCCAATCTTAGTCAGGCTCCCAAATCTTCTAGGCCCACCTGTGTACTTCCTTGTAAAATACAGTTTTGGCAAAATAAATAATAAAAACCTTAGTCAATTTAGCCAGAACTCTGGATATCTGATCACCTTCAATATCTGACCAGTGTCTTTATCCTCCTGGATCCTGTCTAGTTGCCCTGGTGTGTTCTCAGCAAGAATCCTGCCAGCAAGAATCCCTTTACCCCTTACCTCTTAGTCAGTCTCCACCCTACGAATTCCCATTTTCCATACTGTGTTCAGAGCTGAACCCAATCTTTTTCCCCTCCTGCAAAATCCTGCTGGGTTGCAGTGGTGCATGCTTGTAATCCCAGCTATCAGGAGGATGAGGCAGGAGGATCCCATAAATTCAAGACTGGCCTGGGCTCCACAGTGAGTTCAAAGCCAGCATAGCATGGATTACACAGCAAGACTCTGTCACACACACACACACACACACACACACACACACACACAAACCAAAAGCCCACCACAAAAGCCCACTGATTATTATCCTAAATAAAGTCTGCATTACTTTGCTTCAATAAGCATCACTATTTCTTCTCCGTCTGTTTTATTCTCCCAATGCTTAACACACTGTTATTATTCCAACATGACAGAAGAAGGAGGACTCAAGAAGCTAAGACCTGGCCTGATGCTCAGGACTCAGTGGTGAAGTCCAGTTCTCTGGGATGACATTCAGCTCTTCTGCCCCCACAGTCCACATGTTCCAAAGCCCAAAAGCAGCACCCGTGGCATGGCTTAGAGCAGAGCTCACACAGCTGATAGCAGTCCTGCACCCTGCAGCTGGAGCCAGTGCAGCCGCCCCCACTTGCCATCTCTGCTTGGGAAGCCTTATCTCTGGTAAGGCCTGGTAGGCTTTCCAAGCACCATCAGTTCCCATTCCCTGGGTTCCTGTCCCACAAAGGCTGGGACTGGTAGAGGTGGTCAAGGAGGAAGCAGCGAGAGTGCCAGCTGGACCTATTTGCAATTGCATCTCTCTTGGTTGTACCTAGATTTCCCCAGGTCCTCTCTCCAGGTGTCAGGATGACAGCGTGAGAAAGCAGGAGTTCCACACACCTTTCCGGTCCAGATCCTTTGAGTCACTAATGGAAGCAACTGAACCCCAGAAGGTCACACACACACACATACAACCCATAATCTTGCACACCAACTACCATCACCACCCATGCCTCCGAGTCAGCCAGATCTCCAAGCAGTAAGCATCGGAGACACTGGGGAACCTTGCTAAAATGCACCCCTCGCCAGGGCCCACGGAGTCCGTAGGTATGGGACGAGGCCTGGGAGACCTCAGAAGATTTGGGAGCAGATCCTCAGCAGCGCTCACTTTCACAAACTCGTCTCTGAGACTGATAGGATAACTCCTCTCGTTCCAAACTTTCCTATCTCGCCAGGCGCACCGCACTGACATCTTCCCATCCCTCCTGTGGCCCTCACCCTCGCGCGCGGTCGTGCATGCATCTGTGTAACCCGGAGGGGACCCAGTGCGACGGCCCCAGGGGCCTGCTAGCCCCCTTCACCAGCGTCACGGTCCTGGGAGGCGCGGCGCGGAAGCCGACAGGGGGCGCAGTGCGGAGAGGAAATAGAGGGAGGGGCTGCCTGGCGACCCGCAGGCCCGAGCCCAGCGGCGGGAAAGGAGCGGGAGTTCAACAAGGCTAGAGGGAGGGCGCGGCGACCCAGAGCCCGGGCGCCGGGGAGGTGGGGGGTGCGAGGGCCGGGGGGGGGGGGCAGCCGGGCGGGGGCGGGGCCGGAGGACCGGGGCGGGGCCGGGGGGTTCGGAGCTGGGCGGGGCCGGCGGGCCGGGGCGGGGCCGGCGGGCCGGGGCGGGGCCGGCGGGGCGGGGCGGGGCCGGCGGGCCGGGGCGGGGCCGGCGGGCCGGGGCGGGGCCGGCGGGCCGGGGCGGGGCCGGCGGGCCGGGGCGGGGCCGGCGGGCTGGCGGCGAGCGCTGGGGAGCGCGCCCTGGGAGCCAGGAGGGAGGAGCGCGGGGAGCGCGGGTAGCCGCCCGCCCTCGCCTCCGTGCCGCCCGCGCGCAACAGTTCCCGCAAAGTTGCAGCCTGGGAGGCGGGCGCACCCAGGCGGCCGAGGGGCGGGTGGCCGGTGAGGACGCGGCCTCGCGGCCCAGCGCGTACCGTCCCGGCGGGCGGCAGCATGGGTACCCGGCAGACCAAGGGCAGCCTGGCGGAGAGAGCCAGCCCCGGCGCTGCGCCGGGCCCCCGCCGCGAACGGCCAGACTTCTGGGCGTCGCTGCTGCTGCGCGCCGGAGACAAGGCAGGGCGCGCGGGCGCTGGCGCGGGGCTGCCCCCCTACCACCGGCGCGTCGGCATGGTCCAGGAGCTGCTGCGGATGGTGCGCCAGGGCCGGAGGGAGGAGGCGGGGACGCTGCTGCAGCACCTGCGCCAGGTGAGTGCGGGAAGGGGGCCGGGGGAGGGGGTTAGGCCTCGCGAGCGCCCCGCCCCTTCCCGGGAAAGCCGGGGAGGCCAGGGGCACCGCCCAGGGCCCCCTTCCGCGAGGATGGAGCCCTGTCTGGTAGCAGGTGCCTCGGCACTCCCGCTGAATTTGGGGCCTCGGGGCAGGGCGGAGAAAGCCTGGCCGGGTGAAGCTCATGGAAGAGGACCTGTTGGACTAATGTCCCTGCTTCTCTCCTCGGCACGTCTCCGGGGATGGTCGGTGGGAGGGGAGCGGGGATGCGCGCCTGGTCTGGGCCAACGCTCATATTTCTTAATGTGTTCTCAGCAGGTTGCGCTCACAACCAGGGGTCCTCAAGGAATGCATAGTTATCTGCGAAGCCTAGACTCCCGGGGGGCGGGGGAGGGGGGGAGTCCAAGGACGTGTCCTTAAGGGTGGGTGAGGTTCCGGTCCCTAGGTTATTTACCCACTTGAGAGGCATCCTGGATTGTGCGTAGGGAGGCAGTTTCACCTCCCCTAACTTTCGCGGGCCCTCGGGCATGAGCCCCCTGAGAATGGCGTGGAGAGAAGAGAAATAAGCTGATTTCCTGGCCAGTAGGAACTCAGGAAGCTGCCACGCTGTGCTCTCAGCAGGTCCTGTCCCATTGGTTAGAGACTGGTTGTAGATCTGGCCAGTTCCCCCTGGTGGGGAGCTGTCCTAGGAGTGATGCTTCACTCCCCTGCTGCTTTTTGGTTTGTTTTCATTTATTGGGTTTTGTGGGAAGAGGGCGGCCAGTGTCATGGGTTTTGTTGAGTGACAGAGATGCAGGAGGATGCAAAACTGCCTAGGTTGTCTTGTCCTGGCTTTGTGGCATAGACATGCCCAGGCCCTATATTCCTGCTAAGACGGCCCCAAAGAAGAGAGTCTACGGTGAGTGGGGGAGGGGCAGCCTCAGGCGACCTTTGCTTTGCGAGGTTCTCCCATCCGTGGTGAAAGAGGCTGGAGGAGAGCCTAGATGAGCTGCCCAAATCTAATCATATCCACATCTCTCCTGGGTTCTATAGCACCTTTCTTTCTGGTGCAGTGTTACTCTGGAGTATGTGTTCCCAAGCCATGCACTACTCAAGAGAAGGAAACAGAGACTTGGGGATGTAGGAAGATATGGGGGTTCTACCCTTGCCTCTGCTTTTTCAGACAATATCCAGAATGATGCTTGACGCGCTACTAGATTGCCAAGTGCTTCCCTGAACTGAATCATCAAAGATAGCATTCCAAACCTCATAACTTTAGCCTATGTGTATTTCTCCGTGTCTTTTGAAAACTGGAAACTGATGTACCACCTCTGTGGTAACTTTCACTTTGCAGAACAGCAGGTCCCATTTGCACACTAGACAGTGAGGTTTTACCACTGGTAAAACGTGTGCTTGTCCCTGGGTCCTGGGAGGGGTGATTTGGGAGATACAGAAGTCTAGAAGTGGCATACAAGGTTTTTTTGGAGGGTAAGAGAACAAGAAGAAACCAGCATTCTTGAGCACTAATTAGAGGCCACAGGAAGAGAGAGTCCATGGATATTTCAGACTTGCTGGTATGACTCCACACCACGGGAAAACTGAGCTGCTTCATGCAGGGTCCTTGAGACCAGGAGCATTTCCTCTGCAGGTGGCTCTGCTGGCATCTTCCTTAGCCACAGGACTGGAAGGCCTCATGGAAGAAGGAGGAGTTAACCAGACATCTTCCTTGTCTGGGGCTCCCCTAACCTCTGTCTGTAGGGTGAGCACTGTGGACTTAGAAAGCTGCCCCATATTGCATGGAATGCAGGGATCAGGGCCTCTCCAGGAGGTAGTCATGGGCCCTAGGCAGTATGTGAGGGGAGTGCAGGGGTGTCCAAATGTCCATGACAGACAGAGGAGGATTTCCTAGGACCCTGAGATCCACGTGGGGAATGTCCAATTGAATTTGTGCTCTTTCTTCTACATTGTATTTTCCTCTCCAGTTTCCTCCTGTGGCCTGGAGGTGGTGGTGTTCAGAAAAGGAATGTAGGAGCCGATGAGAGACTCATGAAAACACCAGGCCCTGACAAAGATGAAGGGTATGGAGTGCAGGGTCTTCAGTAGTGCTGGAATGTCCAGGAACACCAGGGTGGCCATCAAAAAGTAGGGCCAGGAAGTAGCAGTAGCCAGGAGAGTGACCACCCAATTCACATAGCAGATTCTCCTGTGTTAGTGTATTTTCCATACCCAGATTTGTATATGTTCTGCATATATAGGGTAGAGGAAACTCAAGGTCCTTAATTCCTGTATTTCTCAATGTCTTTGAGTCCTTGATCTTTCTAAGGCCCTGAAAGAACTACACACACTCTTCCTAGACAAATGTACCCTATCACACAGTCTTTTTTTTTTTTTGAGACGGGGTCACTCTCTGTAGTTCAGTCTGATCTTGAACTCACTAGGTAGCCCAAGGTGGCCTCGAACTCACAGTGATCCTGCTGCCTCCTCCTCCCAGGTGCTGAGATTACAGGCGTGCATCACCATGCTTCCCCTCACCAAGTCTTGCAAGGAATTTTAGAGGGTACACAGAGCCCCTGAACTCAATCAACAGAACCAGAGTTCAGAATCTGCTCCAATCTGATAGCTCCCTTCACCCTGTTATGTGACTTCACTCCACTAGGATTACCAGAACCCAGAGCCATGTGAGCAGTTCACGATGGTCCGATGGACTTTAGCTGTTGGTGCTGCTTCCTCTGACTGTCCATCTGTTGCATCTGAGATTTGGGGATTCCTTTCTTGCTTGGATACTCTCCAGCTTGTCACTTGCTGCAGAGGTGTCAGGAAGCCTCACTTATAGTTCAGGGATACAGGCAGGATGCTAAGCAGCTGCCATGAAAGAGCACAGATCAGCCCTCTTCCCTTTAAGAGCAGTATAATCTGTGAAGGATCTGGGACTCAGGATCAAGTCAGAATGGCTTATCCAGTCTACCATGGCCTCGGACTTCTATAGCCTCTCTGGGTTGTATCTCTTCATATCTCAAAGAGGAATTGTGTTGGCACTGCCAATCAAGACATGTTCTCATGGCAACCATGACAAGAACAAGAGAATCTGCCCTATTTTGAATATAGTTAGACTACAGTTAAGGTCGTGGCATCCTTTCCATACAAGGCTGGTCCAAGGAATGTTGGGCTTCTATCTAGCCAGGGTTCGTGGTGTATCAGAAGTTTAGAAGAAGACTAGAGCAAGTGCTCATGGGTTAAAAGGTTTGGATAGAAGAAGTCCTTCTCCCCTTTCCTACACATTTGCCTGTAGGCTGTCCTCTTCCCTAGCATATCTGAAGTCTTAGACTCAGATTGCTATCTTTAAGGAATTCTTGGGAAGAAGTGATCTTCTATCTTTCAGGACAAGTGTTGGGCTGTGTGGGGGTGATGTATCATCTCTTCAGCCAAACACCTTCTCTTGAGTCCCAAAAGTTTCACACCGTGTCATTGACCCATTTCATAGAACACTGATGGTGAACCTATGCACTCATGCCACAGTGGGCAGTTTGTATCATTGAAAACTCTCAAAGTTCTCAAGACATTCATAGAACATTAGAGTAAAAGTCTGTTTCCCTGGCGTGAGCTGTTCCTGGAGTTCATCAGCATCTCTACTGTGTTAGTGAGCTTTTTGTTCTGGTAACAACATAACCTGAAATAACCAATTTATAAGGAGGCAAGGTTTATTATTTGGGCTCACCATTTCACAGGTTGCTGTCCACGGTTGATTGCCCAAGTTGTCTTTGGGTCCGTAGCAATGTAGCATGTCATGGCAGGGAATGTGTAGTAGAGGAACCTCCTCTCATGATGGCAACAAAGAGAGAAAGAGAGCAGGGACTGGAATCCCCCTGTCCCCTTCAAGGACATGCCCCAGTGACCAGAAGAGCTCCCCACTAAGCCCTCTCTTAAACATTCCATTACCTCCCAGTAGTACCTCAGGCTTGGGACCAAGCTTTTAACACTTGTCCAAACCAGAGCACCTGTTTCTCTTAGAGAGGTTCTGACTGGGCTGCTATGCAGATCTGTTCAAGTGTCAGCCTACTCTGTCACTCAGCAGTGTGCCTTGTGCCTGGACTTGTGATTCCGTCTGCTGTCAGGATGGCAGGGTTGGCTTCAGTCCACACCTGGGTCAGGAGCAGAAAAGAACCACCTGGACCCTAGGGCACCATTTGCCCATCCCTGCCTCCCTCCTCCCGAGGTGCTGGATACTGCACAGGCACCTAGAGACTTCCTAGTGACTGGGTAGGTGTTTGCCTGGACAAGGATGATGAGTACATTTTTGAAGGTCACCTTTTTACTCAAACAGCCCACCTGAGAAAATCTCTCCTGCCTGGTGGGAGGCCACCAGACACCAAGCAAGGAAGTCCCCACTGTGGGCCGTTTACTCCTCCTCTACCTGGAATGTGTTTCCTTATTGCCACCAAAGGCAGTGCACCTTTACAAGGCCACCCGTTTAGCATCTGAGGCCAAGCCCTGAGATCCACTGAGTCCCACTGAGTGCCAGTGAATCATCCATATATGGACTGGGGATATAGCTCAGCGGCACAAGCATCAACCTAGCAAGTGCATGGTCTGGAGTTTGATTTGCAGTTAAACAAAAAAAAGTAAAAAAAAAACAACAACAACAAAAAATATATATACACACACATACATGCATAGTACATCCTGGGGGAGTGAAAGGAGAGGAATAGTCTTTTTTTTTTTTTTTTTTTGGTTTTTTTCATTTTTATCAGTACCAGGGATCGAACTCATGACTGCCTGCTTGCAAGGCAGGCGCTTATGCCGCTGAGCTAAATCCCCAGCCCCAAGGAATAGTCTTTAAAAAAGACAACAGAAGATATTGCTAATAGTGTATCAGGAATTAAAACCCATATTACTCGCACCACTCTGTTTGGATGGAACTTGTTCCGTGTGATCTGAGGGCACAGACAGCTGTCTCGCACAGTGCTTATCTTTAATTTCCTATTAACTCAGTCAGGATCCCTGTA